TATATGAAATTTGAAGATTTACCCTCAAGGTGTGCCAAAAATAATAACAATTACCTTGTTCTGCCTTTTTCTTTTTTTTTGTTTGGCTTGGTCTTGGTGTCGGCTCTTCCAATTCATCTTCTGAGCTATCAGCCTCGTTCTCTTGAGTTTGACGGCGACGTCTGAGAGTGCGGGATGAACCTGTACCTGTGCCTGTGCCTGTACCTGTCCCTGTCCATGAACCTGTCAACAAGTTTTGTAAATAAGCATTTTACTTCCAATCCTTCACATAGCCCTGTGGCCCTAACTGCATAAAATAAACAAATATCTACTGGGTCTTGGCTAACCATTATCTGCACCACGGAGACGTTTGCGTCCTCTGCTGTGGTCAGTGGGCTCAGGAATGGGGTCCTCATCATTACTACCGTCACCCTCATCCTCACTGCTGCTTTCCTCCTGTGGTCATGGTTGGTAATTGTCATCCAGGATGGGATCATCGTTGTCAGACACGTCCAAATCTGAGTTGTCTCCATCAATTAACCCAAGTAGCTCCAATGCTCTTTGCACAGAAAAATGCTCAGTAAATAAAAACATGACAAAATCAAATACAAATTAATTTCATTTATGTATGTAGGTTTGCATTATTTATTTGTTATTTATTCCAATGGGACAATATGCAGCTTTTTAGCTACACCAGAGTTAGCTGTAAGCTAATTTACATGTGCACATTTTTACTAGCATATTACATTTTACTAACAACTAATTTAAGTATGTATGTATGTATTTATTTAGTGATTTAATTGTTATTTATTTCATTGGGACCATGTACAGATTTTTAGCTGCACCAGAGTTAGCTTTTTTCTTATTTTACATGTGTGCATGTTTACTAGCATATTAGCTGTTTCAAGGAGTATCAGTCCATAAGTACACTTATGTGTACTTCATGTTTAGCGACCTACAAAGTTGCTATTTTTACACTTTTTTTTCAAATTTGCATGTCATGACAAATGTACAAGGCTTTTATAAATATCTAAATCAGAATAAGCTATGAAATATGACAGAACTTCTTACCTGGTCGACGTTTGTGTATGGAGCTACCACTTGAATCTTCCCTTCTGTTTGCCGCCATTTTGAATTTTGACCGTAGTGTGTTAGACACCACCAGATGGCAGTGTAAGTACCCCATATACGTACCATAACACCCCCAATTCAGCAGTGGACACAATTGTGGACATAAGAGCTAAAAAGTGCTGTCCACGTATGTGACCGCTAAGCCCTAGCAGGTTAAAACACTAATTGGTCTATAGCTCTTACATTCTGTTTTATCTTTTCCCTCTTTTGGTATGACTGATATAAATGCTTCCCTCCATGATGGTGGGAGGGCTCCTCCCTTAAGTATATAATTAAAAGAGGATTTTAACAAGGGGAGCAATGACTCTTTCATACATTTAATGCTTTCCCTCATGATGGTTGGAGGGCTCCTTCCCTGTAAGTAATATAATTAAAAGAGGATTTTAACAAGGGAGCAATGAACTCTTTTCATATCATTAT